ATTTCTTCTCATTTAAGATGAGGGGCTCTACATTAATGCTCACACACAGGTGAGACACAAACAGCCTGAAGACTCTGAAAGACATTTCACAAACCTTTTACTGGAGTTCCACCACTCAGTGCTGCTCAGGTTGACCACAAAGCTCTCACCAAGAGAGCAGTTACTGCCTGGGACCTGAATTTCTCACCTGTACTTCAGCTGGTACTGCAGCACTCAGATACCAGCACTGCCATAAAGATAGCTGCACTTTATAAACAGCATAAACTGTAAATAAAGTAAATCACTGTGGGATTGCCAGTTTGCTGCTAAGACTTTTCAGGCTTTTATTTGTAACACGTGGGGAGCCAAGAATCCATTACCTTGCCAAAGAGGGGCAAGTGCCTCCAGACTTTACAGGGTACAGCTGAGAAACCTAAACCACAGCTGGGTTCCCTACACATGGCTGGGAAGCCCAGCCCCCTAAATCAAACCTTAGATTTTTCTTAAACTACAAACAGTTTAAACTTAAGACAAAATTTAAAGCACCAAAGATAAACCAAGAAGGTTTTTAACTGCAAGAAATGTACTTCAATGTATGTGCCAGCACAAAGGATTTCCCCACTTTGTTAGGAAATCCTTTGTGGATTTCTGACCACTGACCCTGTCTCCCTCTGCATGTTTAATGTGATTAATATTACCTCATCTATAACCAGAGGGGATGAGGACTCGGCTGCCAGTAACAGGCACCGTCCAAGAGTCCTCCTACATTCCCCTTATCTGTCCTTTTATGCCCTCTGCACTCTTGGCTACTTAATTTTTACTTAATTTCTTCTTTCCTCTCGTTCTCTGGTTCTTGTGCTGTTACGTCCTCCTCCCCTACTATAATTCTGTCCTTCCCCGTTCACACCACGCAGTCAGAACCCATTCCCGGGATGTCTCCGCTGTTTTCCCTCTGCTGTCGCACTGAGTCCCTGCCCAGTGCTCCCCGTGTCCCACTGTCCCTGCTCCCCTGGGAAGCCACAGCTCCGCCTGTCCAGCGGCTTCTCTGCTTCACTGTTTCTCGGGAGCCGCTGCCCCCTGACAGCTCCGTGTTTCCCTCGGCT